CCCCTTTTAAATTACTCTGGTGCCTGTTTCTTTCAGTGGCATTTTAAGCTGTAGTAGTGAGTGTAGACAGCATTCCAAGGTAAAGTACTGTCTACACATCTATAGTAATTGGGCAAATGTTTTTAAATTAAATCTAGAATATGGATGTTATAAAAATAGCAGCTCCTTTCATTGAGGGCCCTGCATGGCAAGCACACTCTGTCCTCCAGTCTTCCCATGGGTGTTCCTGTTGGACAGGTAACATTTAAAAGCAGTAGCCCATCAGGCACATTAATTTGAGATAAGGCTAATATTTGAACCACCCAGGTCTATAGGCTCCAAAATCTATGCTGCCCTTTAATTGTAAGTAGGAAATCTTACAGAAGTGGGACAGATGCCAAATCACCTTAGAGTCCATGCCAAAGATGGGAGTGCCCTCACTCAGGGAAGACAGCAAGTGAGGGGGCATTGGGGTCACCTGGCCCACACAGTGGGGGAGACTGACCTTTGTACTCTGGCTTTAAAGCATGCTGCCTCTGTTAGTGTGGCTTGCTAGAAACTTTGCTGCTTAGAGATGCATGGTGACAGTAGCCACAATACAACTCTAAATGCAAATGGCTTTGTAAACAGGTTAAGTTATACAGGAGCTACTATATACAGGTATCTGTAAATATATGTGCAGGCTTCCTGATGAGGCCTTTTGAAAGTCTACATTTCAGTTACCACTATGCTGTGTTCAAATGATTAAAACTGTAGCTTTGCCATTTCTGACTTTTCAGAAAAGTGTGTAAAGGAGGGCGAATGAGGTTTGTAAAAGCTGAAGTCTGAACAGAGCATGATGTTAAAACAAAGAACTTCACGAATGCAAAGTTTTTACTTTGGGGCTGCTATTTTAAAACGAACATCGGAATTAGAATCCAAAGCAAAACAGCGTAACGAGAAATCTAATTATGATGTTCTAAGTAACAGACTCATTACAGAATGTTATGTGCAAGTACCAGCATGGAGAGTCACAAATACGGTGTTTTATTTCAAGGCTCACTATGAGTGGATCTCTGGGAGAGGATGCCCTGTGTTTCCAAATGTTCTCCTAAGGGGGCAGGAAGCGGGCAGCCGGAGGAGTGTGATTACTAGTTGCTCTGCTTAGCAGCCAGCAGCCCTGCTGTTTCACAAACAAGCTAATAAACAGAATAAGTTGGTCAAAGGAAGCCAGAGATTGGAGGGGTTTGGGGTCCCAGCAGGCATGTTTTGGCAGCACTGAAGTACTGTGCCCCCCAGGTTGGGACACAAGGAGGCCCAGGCAGCAGCAGAGGTCATCATCAAGAAGGGGAGATGTTGGGCTCCGTTCATGTCCTGTGCTGAGTGTAAGCCTCTTTGGGAAAATGGTGGGTCCAGAACTGGGGCTTTCTCTCCCCTGCCAGCAGTGCCTGGATCTTTCAAGGACCTACTTGAGTGCGGTGTGCACCGTGGCAGAAGCGTGCGAGTTCCACTCCTGTGCTCCTTGGCCACAGTCATTTCAGCTCCAGCTGGGATGGTTAGCTGCTACGCATGCTGGCAGCTTCCAGACATCAGTTGTCTGGGTTTTTCTGCCTCAGGGCTTCTCCAGAAGTCTTCAGTTTGTTCCCACCCAGGGTGTCTGGGAAGATAATCCCAAAGGGCAACCCTCAACAGTGGAGATTGGTGCCCCCGCCTCCCCTCCTTCTTGGCACCATCTTGAGCCCCAATCGCCTACAGTGGAAACCAGTGTGAACACCTTTGCCTGTCTCCTCTCTCATTACCTGCTTCGTCCTCTGAGAACAGCTCCCAGGCAAGCTACCTGCATGGAGATCCTCTTCTCAGATTTTGCTTTCAGGGAACCCCACACGGTGACAGCTACCAGGGGGCGCTTGGTATAGATTCCTTGTGGCAGAGGGGGAGTGGGGGTAGGGAGCTGTTTCTTTGCAGACCCCAGGATTTACTGAACAGGAGGATCAAGGAGGCATCTCAAGCCCTGAACCCCCTCATTCCTATGCAGAAGTTTCTCCATGAGGAAAGTTTATACTAGTCTTAGCTTCACTCAGGGATAGCAAGTTTGGGGATATTTTTTAATATTTCTTGAATGATCTACCGAATAAGAGATTATTTATTCCAGAGCATAGGATGATCTATCAATGACTATTTGCTGTTTTGAGGAAAAGAAATTCTTTTCTTATAGCTGTTTTCCTCCTTACACCGTTTTAATCCCCTTTACAAAACAATTTTAAAGAAATTAATTCAGGGGCACCTGGGTGCCTCAGTCAGTTTTGCATCCAACTCTTCATTTCGGCTCAGGTCATGATCTCAGGGTCATGAGATAGAGCCTCATGTCAGGCGGGCATGGAGCCTGCTTAAGATTCTCCCTCTCCCTCTGCCCCTCCCCATCTCTCTCTCTCTCTCTCTCTCACACTCTCTTAAGAAAAAAATTGAGAGTCCAAAATGGGTGTTACCAAAAATTATTTACATGGCATTTTTAAGATTTCAGTTTCCAAAGTTCATTTGTTTCCGAAGCTCATTACTAACATAGACATGCAAAAATAATTGTGTTTTTTGCAACCATGTTCACTTCACTTATTCTAGTAATTTGGAAGATTGTTTGAGGTTTTGTGCATACACAATTATGTTACCTGTGAATCTGTATATGTAATTAGAGCTTAGAGATATTATTCTAATCTCTCAGTGAAGGAAATTTAGAGTCCTTTTGCTACGTGGTCACAGACTGAGAACCTCCAATGCCAAGGACCTTAAACCTCTGAGGCATCTGTCTCCGGGTTGAACAGTTCCCATTGCTAGAAATCTTTTTTTTTTTATATATATATTCAGTTAGCCAGCATATATAGTACATCATTAGTTTTTGGTGTAGTGTTCAATGATTCATTAGTTGTCTATAACACCCAGTGCTAATCACATGTGCCCTCCTTAATGCCCATCACCCGGGCACCCCATCCCCCACCCACCTCCCCTTCAGCAACCCTCAGTTTGTTTCCCGTAGTTAAGAGTCTCTCATGTTTGTCTCTCTCTCTGATTTCTTCCCATCCAGTTTTCCCTCCTTTCCTTATGATCTTCTGCACTGTTTCTTATATTCCACATATGAGTGAAACCATATGATGTCTTTCTCTGCTTGACTTATTTCACTTAGCATAATCCCCTCCAGTTCCAACCATGTCAAAGCAATGGTGGGTATTCATCCTTTCTGATGGCTGAGTAATATTCCATTGTACACATGAACCACATCTTCTTTATCCATTCATCTGTTGAAGGGCATCTTGGCTCCTTCCAGAGTTTGGCTATTGTGGACCCATTGCTAGAAATCTTGTTCGTGTTTTGGGCTTAGCTGATTTCTGTTTCTCTGTGACAGCCATCCCGAAACTGGGAGACAGCTACACAGCCCTTGGGCACCTCAGCTCAGGTGAAGCCATTCTCAATGGCTCCTCCCATGATGAGATCTGTGGGCAATCCCTGAACATTTCTATGTAGAACCTGGGCTTGAGGAAAGGTTAGCTGGGAAACCATAAAAATAGTGTTTCTTTGAGACTGGATTTTAAAACGCATGTAGTTCCACCCCCCCCACACACATATGTGCTTTGTTTTTGAAAGATTGCAAAAAAGAAAAACAGGACACACATGTATATCACTGATTATTTTTAATGATTTTGTGCTATGGTTTGACCACAGCATTAAGAACAAGCAGAAAAAGCTGATTTCATAACTAACAAACAGCACTTAGAGCAACATCTTTCTTTAAAAGTATTGCAATTACAGACCTTAGGTCTAAGAACTACATCACCATTGCTCAGTTAAAAGAGGCAGATACACAACAGTTGGAAATATTTCTCTGTATATAACTTGGGATTATGTTGAAAAGTAAGCACAAAGGGCTGTTACAGACTTTAATGACTCTGGTTATCAGAGCTCACATGAACTACTGAAAAGTTTGAATACAGTTGTACTTTTTTAGTTGGCTGCTTTATAATAAAAATTAAATGAACTCAATGCTATGAATAGTGTTGTACACATTTAAAAATAGCTTTCCACTAGACAAAGTCAATTACAAAATGTGATCTTTGAAAGCCATGAAATGAAAAATAGCAAGATACCAACAAGCACATTAAGATGAACCAGTACCATTAAGAGTAAAGTATAAGCCTCAGTTAGTTCTGTAGAAAGGAAGAAATGGTGTGGTAACACACTTTAGTACCTCTGGGTCTAGAACATTCTCTGATGACACTCATGCTCAACAGTTCTCCCAAGAGAAGGAACCGGGAGGGTGGGAGTGTTGCTCCTGACAGCAGAGGGCCTTGGCTCCTAATGTCAAACCAGAAACACAAGGAGCCCCTGCAGTTCACAAGGGAAGCAGACGGGGGCTGGACGGGACAGAGCCCCCAGGAGATAGCTATCTTGTCATGCCCTTTCAGAACAGACAGTGCGAGAAGGGCTGACTTTTCATCCTTCAGCAACAAGAGTTGCATTGTAGAGGTGTTCTCAATGTAAGGAGAATCTGTAATAGTCTGCTTTCTGGAGGATAAGGGCATGATTCTCTCGTGATTTTCAAAATCAGAACATATGCCACAGAGCAAATAAAAAACATGGGTTTTATTAGAATTAATATCTTCTGGTGACAGAATAGAGTGGAAATATGGATCAGATGGGCAAAATTTCCCTGACTGCCTTTAAGGACAACACTGGAAAGGAGGCACACACCCATGATTCAACCGCGGTTTTGGTAAACACGTGAAAGGCTTTTTCCTTTTTTAGTATTAGGATATTTGAAGATAAATGCAGAGGTCACAACGGACACAACACTGAGCTGAACGGATAGATGCTGCGTAAGAGGTGTGACAGAGCATGCGACTGAAAACGTCGTCCCTAACTGCTGGCAAAACCTAGCTTGTCAAGATCTCCACGACACACCAACAGGAACGGATAGAAGATTCTTCACTTGACTGGCTGATAGCTAATTCTCTGTGAATGATAACCCAAAACAAAACAGTTTTTCTAAGAGTGGGGTCTTCTCCTAAGTGGATTTGTTTTTCCTGAGATACTCTTGCCCTACACACGCATTCGTTCATTGGCTCCACAGCTTCAGTTTGTCAAAGAAAAAGGCACAGAGAGACTAGGGACACAGACGGCTGCCAACGCCTCTGTACGGAACAAAGTCCTCTGCTGCTGGCCAATTTACTGAACTTGGACATAATTTCTGCAATTTTAAGAAAGTACGTGCTTCTCCCTGGGGCCTGACATCTCCACTATTCTACAACATGAGATATCTTTTCATAAAGCAAAGGTGAAAAAAACTTTTTTTTTTTTCTGACTCTATCACTGGTCCAACTGAGCCTTACTAAAGAGATGAAAATGAGAAGCATCTAGTGGCAACCAAAAAGCTGTGGGATTCTTTTTAAATTATTTTTTTTAATAAAGGGTTTTCACAGCAAAGATGCAACTCTCAATTGCTATACATATGCTGGTCATAAACAGTGGCTTGCTTGTTCAGACTTCTTTCCCTTGTGTTATAATATTGATATTTAATAGGAAAATAAACTACATAGACTTTTATCTGTATGCATCCATTTGCAAATTTCCTTACAAAAGAGGACAAAGCACATAGGCATTCACAAATTCTATGCCATTTCTGTTAAAATCAGTATCTATACATTATATTACAGTATTAACAATCTTTTGTTCTACCCATTGGGTAGGATATGTGCATAATATATTCAAGTTATATACAGCACCTTACAAATAAAAACATAAGAGAAGACAGACAACTGAAAAAGCACCATTGTAAGTGAGGCACAACAAAGGTGGGGGCAGAGTGTGGTGGTGGGGGGCTCAGTTCCTGGGCCTGCTGAAGTCAGCAGGAGCCCCCGGCATGCAGAGCTCTTTGGAACGCCACGGGCGACGCAACATGCGGGTAGGGCGTTGGCACCCCCACCACACTGCACACAAACAAGCACAGGCCGAGGAAGGAAAGAGGATCAGAGGAAGGCCGCGCTTTCTTGGCAAGGCATTCTGACTCACACACCCCAGTGTCCTGATGGCCTGGAAAGCCGCCGCCGCAAACAACCGTCTAAGCCTGGCAGTGAATCACAAACTCGAGCTATGCAAAAGACACAGTACTTTGGGTGGTAAAATAACCTCGGCTGAAATCTTGGGTCCTGAAGAATGCAGGGTATGGCGAGGCAGGAGTATTTTGCAAGGTCCCCTGGCTGGCCTTGGCAGCTGGTGCCAGTCAAGGGAGCTGCAAAGCTGCTGAGACTAGCTTTTGTGGTCTGGGGCCAAAGCGGTTTCTTCATCTGTGACTTTGGTGGGCACTGGTGGATACCGTGTGGCTCCCACTGAGGAGGGGAGACCCGCCAGCCCGTCACCCAATCATGTCATTTCATTTAGGTTCACAAAGGCCAAGTAATCTGGGTGAGCGTCAGCAGAACGGAGCCTGTGTCGGACCCTTCAGCTAGGATTGGGGGCCCTGGCAGAGAGGGGAGGCGGCCTTGGGGGGGCGTGTCACCATACAAAGGCTTGGTGCCAAGCGTGGGCATATGTCTTGTTTTAGCCACAGACAAAACCGCAAAGTTAAAAACCAAGTGTCCTTCCCAATTTCCCTCCCCCCCACCCCCTTTGCACACTGCTGAGCTTTGGAAATCTGAAGAGAAATGAACGGCATATGAGACAACATGCAGTTAACGGTGCCGCTTTACATAGCGAACCTCACGCAGGAGCCCCGGCACAGCCAACACCAGATGGAGGCTGCAGGCAGGGAGCACAGGGCTGGGGGAGGCCCCCAGCCCTGCCCCAGAGGATCCCATCAGGACCCTTCTACAGGCACCCCCTAGTCAGAAAAGCAACTGGACAGATGGTGCAGGAGGGCCCTGTCAAGGGGGGCAACTCTGCTTCTGAGGGAAGGCTGTGATTTGACCGGATTCTTCCAGGTCAGTGCAGCTTTCTAGCAGTGCGTGCCATTTGAGCCCTTCTCATTCTTACGAAAGTAGACTAAAGGTGAAGAAGATCAAATGAAGATGTTCAGAAGCCCGAGGCGTGCTCATCTGTGCACGACATTCCTACGCCAGTGTTTCTGAAGGCCTCCCAGCCCCTGTCCTCCCCAAAGAGTTTGAGCTAAAATCAGCAGATACACGTGAAGTCCTCTTCAGGACAAGTCTTTGCAAGTTTTAAATACTCTCTTCAGCTATCTTGAAATTTCTTGTGGGCTGTGTGTCCATGTGCCTATGCGGCGGGAAAGGACAGAAGGCATGCTTGTCAAACTCCTTAACACTAACTTTTGGTCAGGGACACAAAGAATGGAGCAATGTTTACTTAATTATACAGTTTGTTTAGCAAAATCTCATTTGTACTAAGGACTGCTTTGGCAACTGAAGAACACAGACCTCCTGAAAAAGCAAATACACCCCTGAAGACTATGTTCCTAGAAACGGGATTCAACATGCCTTGGGTTTCCTACTTCTGGAAGTCCGGGGATGTCAGCCGGATGCCCGGGAGCACCAGTTCCCACCCACTGCTCCTTTGAACAATGCAATCCTTTATCCTAACTCTCTACTGAAATAATAAACCTACCACGGATTGCCTACATCACAGGTTCCCAAGCCAGACCCTAGGGTCTCCTAAGCACGTGGGCTTCTTGAACATTGGGCCCCCGTACAAGCTGCCTCCTCACATCACCTCTTGTCCCTCACCCGGCCAGTAATGTGGTGTGAACAGGGCAGCCACACCTTCCAGGAAGCCACGGATCTAAATCACCTTTTCCCCATGTCGAAGGGAATTGACTATTAATTCAATTCATGACCTTAGCTTTCAAACTAATTCATCGCAGAGGTCCAGCCTCAAAGACCATCAAGTCATGGTTTGATAGGTCTGTGTCTTGAAATAACTATTTAACTCCAAGGGCAATTCTCTAGGGTGGCCGAATGGGAGGAACTCCTTTGAAGGACGATTAAAGTTATTTGAATTAAATAATTGCTTTGCCAATTATTGTGGACATCTGCAAAACATTCATGAACTTGCCAAGTGACTAGGGAATTTACCAGTTTCCGACCGTAGCTCATTCTGGTAGCAGGTAGGAAAAGGACTGTGAAACCGTTTTGAGCAAGAGCTATATAAGGCGGGTTCACCACTTTACCAAAATTGCAGGTGAGGTTTGGAATGATGACTAACCTTCTCCTTTTGCATCTGACAGGACACCTAGCCCACCCTGAGCCCCCACCCGTGGGGGGTCCTGACTGGGTCAGGTGCTAACATTCCCCTGCGGGGCCACGTGAGGCTTCATGCCAAGGGGATGCCCAGCTTGCTTAAGCGCAGGCCTGTGACCCAGGCAGCGAGCGGAGCTGTGGGAGGGCCTGGGGCACGGGAGAGGCAGTCTCTGGGTCTGAGTCTGGGCTCCCAGGGATCTGCCCGGTCTTGGAATCCCCAAGGCAGCCCCCGGAACACAAGCCTCCAAACAGGCTCTGAGGCCTGAGTGGCAGCTTCTGCCCCACCTTTTCTCTCTCTCTCTGAAGAGTGACTAGTTCTGTGGAGGTTACTGTGTGAAACGGATGAGTGCAATGGAGATTCTGAGCCTCCAAACAAAACAAAACCCAGCCACCTCCTGACCAAGAGAAGTAGCAGAAAGGAGCAGTGGACAGGACATTCTCCAGCTCTGAGCCCACAGCACCAAGTCACCTCCCTGAGAAACCACCCCAGAGACCCACAGACAGACAGGAACACACGTGTGCCGATTCAGCAGGAAAACTGCAGAGATCAGAGTCACTGAGCCATCATTCCAAATTCACTGTTTTACATGCAGAGACCAAAGGGGACAAGCCCTCCCGAGGCCTGGTGCCGGCCAAACCCACAGGCTACGGCTGTCACACGGGCCAGATGCTGGCTTCCACATGAGGAAGTTATCTATTCTACAGAAGAGCAAATGCTCGGAAATATCAGGAGTAGTAAAGCGAAGACTAGCAATATTTAAAATTGGCCTTCTAGTTGCATTGAACTACGTGTTGTGCTTTTTATCCTGTGCGCTTCCAGTCGCTCCCTGCCCTGCACTGTTGGGTAACCGTCTGGGGAGCCAAGGACACTCCCCCCGGAGCTGGGGTGGGCTCTGAGCACCGCATCCCTCCAAGAGCGCAGCGCCATGGGCAGTGACGTGCAAGGGCTTGTTCCGGTGCGGGGCACTTCGGCGTGCTCTCATCCGCTCCAGGGGCCTCCTGTGCATGAAGAAGCCTTGCACACCGTGGCCAGGTAGGCCGCCTCGGGGGCCACGGCGGAGAGCCTCCAGAGCCCTGACCAGCCATCCAGGCCTGAACTGAACTACCTAGCTATAAAAGGAGAGAGAAAACGGGGAATACACTGAGAAGTCACATAGTTCAACAGTATTAAAAATAACCACCTTGCATTTTAAACAATTTATTGCATAAAATAATGTATGTATCTGAGTATATTTCATGCTACAGTGGAAAAAAAACCTCTAAATTACTGAAGAAACTGCACCGCGGGAGGATGGGCAGCACTGCATGATACCGGGTACATAAATGCATGTGTTGGGGTCAAAGTTAATCAAATATGCAGCCTAAGACTAGCAGAGTAACTCAACAAGTCAGAAATGCTGGGATTTAGTATTTCCTATCTTCCATCCAAAGTCTCCAAATACTTCAGTGGCGCACTGCTATGTGAAGCAAACTCCTGCAACAGGAATGGCTTCCAGATTTAGGTAAGTTGGTGTATGTGAGGCTACATCCCCAAACATCTTTTCTCGCGTGATTATGGGGAACACTCCAGGTATTCCTCGAGCCTAATAATAATCCACAGGTGAGAAGACAACATACAGAACTTCACATGGAACAGTCCCCTCATATATAAACATTTAGATAGTGCAACTTTTTAAAAACACATCATCACAACACAAATTAACTCCTTGCATTCATCTAACTTCTTCACTTTATACCTTGGCACACAAAACAGGAATTTTGAATCATGTTTTTAAAACAAAATAAAAGTTCCACACCTTGGGAGAAAAAGCAAACTGGCCGATACTTCCCCATGATAATATATAATAATGCATCCTTCTTTATCAATTAGTTATAAAACCGGCCATTCTGGCCTCTTTCTCTGAAAAGTCTCCTTTCATAATTAAATAAATCAAATACCTCTGTGGGTTTTATTTCATGATCTCTTCCAAGCATCCCTTTCTCTGTGTTCCCAAGCCCGCCCTTTGCCAAAACCAGCCCCCACCCCCACCCCGTCCTGACGCCTGTCCCCAGATAAACACTGTTCGCGGTCAGACCGGATGGAAGTTTGTATTATTTCAGTCTAGTCTGCATGCAATTCCCCTGAAAGGAATCAGAAACAAAGACCACGTTTGCACATTTGGTTTTACTTCGTTGTAGCAGGTGAGACGGACCACCACCGTGCCGGAGGTGCGGAGGCGGCGCGGCCCTCCTCCCGGCTCGGCGTCTTCCTCCTCCTGTGCACGTGGGCGGGTCAGACGAGGTTGCCGGGCTTCCTGTCTTTGCCCTGGAGGGGCAGCACTGTGCCCCCCGAGCTGTCCTGCTGAAACGGCAGTCTGCTCGCCCGGTGCGCGCTGCTGTGCTGGTGATGGAAGAAGGAGGCGCCCGGGTAGTGGCCCATCACCTCGCTGTACGTCGGGGGCGGCCCCTCCATCCTCCCGTTACTGCTGCGGGTGCTGGCACTTATGCCCGAGTTGCTGCTCGGCGGACATGGGCCCCCACTGCACACGGAAATGTCTATCAAATCGCTGTCGAATATGGTTCGGTTGGGCGGGGCCCGCACAGATTCTCGGTTGAGTTCCCTCTGCTGTTCAGGGTCCCTGAGCTGCAGGGCGCAGGGCCCCTGGTAAGGAGGCGGCTCCTCCCCGTCAGACAGGGAGATGGTGGGAGGAAGGTCGATCTCGTGCTGCACGTAGGGGTAGGTGGGCTGGAAACGGCTGAACCGGTCCCTCTGGATAAAGGATGGGGCGGTAAACCTGTCCCTGGACCTCGGGGCATACATGATCTGCAAGGGAAGGAGGAGAGGGTTGAAGACATCCGCGACACAAGGACCACGAATGTGATGGTATCAAGAAAGTTCATGCCTGGTCTGTGTCCTCAGCAGTTTGGAGACTTTTTTTTTTTTTTTTTTAAGATTTTATTTATTTGACGGAGAGAGATACACAGCGAGAGAGGGAACACAAGCAGGGGGAGTGGGAGAGGGAGAAGCGGGCTTTCTGCCGAGCAGGGAGCCCCATGCGGGGCTGAAGGCAGAGCTGAAGGCAGACGCTTAATGACTGAGCCACCCAAGCGCCCTCAAACAGTCCTCAAAACAGGAAACAACAGGAAAAGTCTATTTCAGGGGGGAAAAAAAAAGTCGTTTTCTTATTCCCTGTGACTTACACCACTCATCTTGCCAAACTACAGGTAATCTCGGATGGTTCAACAGTGGAGACTGTGGTTAACTGGTTTAATGGGAGTTGCGGTGCACACTATGTATACATTTTCTGCTGGTTCCAGTAGAATACAACAGCAATTTCCAGAGTTCAGTAAACAGGGGTGGGGTGGAAGAACGCTGTTCGGGGGGCGCTGCAGTCCTGACCACCTGGTGACAGTTCTGGGCCCCCACCCTTTCACCTGGAGCGGAAGGACCATGCTGCCTGCTCTCTCACCTATGATTCAGAAGAGTAGGGGGGCCCTCAGAGTTTTCATTGTAAATGTAAGTTTAATTGCACACAATGGTACTTGGGGTAGGTACAAGGCACTGGGTCAATTTATGAATTATTTACAGGAGCACGTTGATCTATCAATTACTTAAGAAAATACAGAAAAAGTGAGTTCTTTTTCCTTCTAGGTTCTAGGCTTATCCAGTTGTTTCATTCTGGATAAAAGTTTCCTGTAGTTATTTTTAGTAACTGACATGAAAAATATTTTGTACTCCAAAGTAAATATAATTACAGATTTGTTTTCCCAAAATGAATCCAAGTACTATTCTTCTTACATAATCCTCTCACCTATTCCACCATCCAAATTTCTTCTAGAGGAAAGAGATATATACAGATCTAAAGATATATATCTCCACTAACCTCTCTCACACCATATTTTTAACTTATAGGCAAAAATTATGTTATTTAAAAAAATCATATTATTAAACTTGGAGATGTATTTATAAACTATGCCCACATCTGCCAAGCCTCATTATTAGCAGCTTATGGGACCATGTAAAGATCAGTGATTCTCAACCTGGTTTCTGTAAGGAGCTTCAGACAAGCAGGAATCATCTCTAGGACATTCCAGGGCAAAACTCCTCCCCACCTTTTTAACCCAAAGTTACAGCATACACCTTAAGGGAAATGCATTATTTCTTAATCTATGCTGTAATACACTTAGCCTTTCCACCAGTTTTGCTGCAGTGTTTTTTCCCCTCCTCCCTCCCCTGACATGGGTGCAGCAGCTACCTCCAGCGGCCCACCCCCCACCCCTGCCCAACTCCTTACCTCTGAGGCCCCTGGCCGAGGCCCGGAGCTGCCTGAAGGCCACAGGCGCCCTTCCTGGCAGTGGGAGGACAAGAAACATCACAAGAAAATCATTAGTTTCATACAACAGCACCCAGAATCAAGGGATCACATTCCTCTTTGACAGAAGCAGACCTGTTTAAAACATGGAGTGACAAAGAACTGGTCCTTTTTCACACCTAACATCCAAACAGAGAATCGTGACCACAAGGAAAAGGTAGGAGGTTTTGGTCTCAGCCATAATGGATTTGAAATAGATCTGAAATCAAGTATCTTCCAAACTATACACCTGTGTGCTTGCAATGCATTCAAAATGGCCTCAAAACTGCATTCAAAACTGCATTCAATCACCACCTGGATCTGCGTGGGTCTGGGTGAATCCAAGCTCTTATTCGGAGGCCTGCCCACACAATGGGTGCTAGCGGCATGGGGCGGAGCGCCAGACAACACCCTTCTGAACTGCAACCAGCTTGGACCTAAGCAACACCAGTACTAGAAGGAAAACACTAGCTAGCCACGCTGGTTGGCTTTCAGACCCCAAACTGAGTTTCCAAGAGCCCAAACGCCCTTCGAGTGTCTTGTAGTGAGTTTATTCTTGAGTCTATATATTCATAAGGCACATGTAACTGGACATCTAGTTGTTTAATATCTTTTTCAAAAATGTTTGACCAGACCCACAAGGTGACGAGCAAACAGTAGACGTGATGAAGGGTCATTTCTAACTCTGTAAATTTGTTTACAAGGCATTTCAATATGTCCTCCCTTTTGAACCCAAATTGTTGGCTATTGCCAGCGTCTGTTGGGCTATGTATTAGCTTAAGGCCTGTTACTCTAAGAAAGAGAGTAAGGACAGCTGGGTTGGTGGTGGTGGTGGTGGTGGGGAGAGATGCCTGTATTTTTGGATTCCTAGGAATATGCATACATGACTTTGTGCCATCACTGAGCCTCCTGAAGTCTAAGAACGCCCACGAGTCAGCCTGCCAGGTAAAATACCCCTACGTCTTTGGACGCGAAGGCCAACCCTCTCTTGCTCCCTTTTGTAGGCCAGAATTCTAATACAAACACTCCCTTCACAGCTAAACAGTGCGCTTGTCCGGTACATACAACCTGTTCCTAAGATACCCGCAGGACATCATGGAATCAGGGGCAAAAATATGAACAGGCCCAGCTGCACTTAGAGGAAGTTGGGGCTTAGGGTCTGACTATGAAATCATGTAATGGGCCGTTTTGGCTCCGGCATGGTGACAGGTGACAGACGGCCCCAAGTCGAATCTAATCAAGCAGCTGCCCTGCACCCACAGGCAGCCACCAGGCCCAGAGCTGCACGGAGCTGGCGCAGCTTCCTCGGGGTCAAAGGGAAACAATCAGTATGCCTCTGGGTGATTGCGCCACTCTCAGATTGAAAACAGCGTGAAAACGAAGCCTTGCATAGCTCTCTGACTTGTAATTCTGCCCCAGCAGCTCTTCGTGTCCGTCACGTGAGCTTGGGGACACTCCTGCGCCTGCACACACTGGCCACCCCTCTGACCCTGGGGACTGGCACCAGGCGACAGTCAGAGCAGGAGGCTGACGCAGAGTGAGCCGCCTAAGGGCCAGAAATAACAGCACCACGCGAGGTGACCCAGAAGTAGGGGCTCGCACATTTTCTGAAAACGGAAATAGCCATCCTCAATGGTTTTACTTCCCTAGAAATGAGCCAAACTGGGACACTGCCTGGAAGAGACCACGCCTTGTGGTCTTGAGCCTCCATTCACCGAAGTCATACCCGCCTTCTGTCGCCAGTTCCACTTGGTGCTTTTTGACCTCTCACCGGGCCTCCTCCAAGCACCGCTGGGGCCACTCTCCTGCCTTCGGCACCACCCTCCCTTCCTGGTATGTGCCACGTGGCCCCAAGCTCGGCGGTGCCTCCAGCTCTGCGTTTGGTAAAATGTGAGGAGGTCCTCAGACCCCGCCTGGGGCACGTCTGCTCTCGCTGCGGGCTCCCTGGGCCACTCCCTCCCACCCCCCTCCTTGCAGGGCCATCCTGGTGGGGATGGATCCACGCCACTGCACCTCCCAGGAGCTCCAGTACCCAGTTACGGGGGCCTCCTGGATTCCGATGGAATCCCAGCACCAAGCTGTTTGCACGGGAGCTCATCAGCTTCTCCCGGAACTTCATATTCCTCTGCCACTGGGGCTCATCCTCTTACCATGCCCCCTCGCCCCACTCTACCTCCCTCATTGCCATGATGAATATTTTATTTATTTATTTATTTATTTATTTATTTATTTATTTATTTATTTATTTATTTATTTATTTTTAAAGATTTTATTTATTTATTTGTCAGAGAGAGAGAGCACAGGCAGGGGGAGAAGCAGGCTCCCCACTGAGCAAGAAGCCCGCACAGGGTTCCATCCCAGGACCCCGGGATCACGACCTGAGCCGAAGGCAGATGCCCAATCGACTGAGCCACCCAGGTGCCCCTCCATCATTAATATTTTAACAACGACATGGCTTATTTAACCATCCACTAACAACTCCCTGCCCCCTGATTCATTCATTTTTACAGGACACTTATTTTTTAGGGCTTTCACCCACACAGTACGCAGGAGACCATGAAAACTATAAGATCTACAAGATGCCATGGTGAGAACAGTTAGGGTCAGCAGCCCAGAAAAGCTATCATTCTAGTTCTGTGCTGGTACATGGAGAACTGAGACCCAGAAGATGGCCAGAATTCTAGAAAGGCTGGCTCCCAGCCGATTTGATGGTTAGGGGACCTGCCTCACTCAGGCCCTCATGCCATAAGCTGCAGTGGCCACACCCTGGGGGCTGTCCCATGCCGCCCATCACCAGACTGTCCTCAGGAGCACCAACTCGCACATTGCTGGTGAAGCCCGATGATTCTTGCCCCCCAGGTGAGGTGAAGTCCTTGGACTATGATCTGACCCCATGACCAGTGTCCTCCAAGGGGCCTGTACTATCTTTTCAGAAAGCTGTGGCTAGCTGAACTCAAAGACATGGGCCCTCTTGCCTAGACCCCTGTTTCTTCTTCTCCAAACACTAGTGGTGACATTTTCAGGGAGAAGGGGCTCATCCTACAGCTGGGATTTACTCAAATGGCAATATTTCTGGATCCTCATTATGGAAGCAATTTTTATCTCAACAGAGAAGTCTCCATTGTTCCTGGCTAATGCTTATATTATTACATGGTATTATACTTGGAAGAAGCTGTGAATTAAGATAATACTTAAAATAGTTCATAGAAATTTGAGCAATAGGAATAAAATTTTGCTAATATTTTTATGCAGGCTTAAACAAATTCCTTCCCTTACAGCTGTTTCCTTGTTAGAATACCCACCAAAAGGAAGGGAAGCATTCGTTCATTACTTCATCATATATCTACTGAACACTTCCTGACAAGAGGTCTTGATCCCAACACGTGAGATGCTGTGCATAACCAAATAGCCCCTGTGCCACACCTCCCCATGGGATGGGGGGTTGGGGGAAACAGGGAGTCTGGACAACCCCCCCGAGGTTAAGCTGTCACTCCCCCCTCCCCCTTGTTCTACTCAAGAAAGCATGGAATGTGATTTGTCGTGACATCACTCTAAGGATCACTTTGAATCAATTCTAGTTCATTTTTTTTAAGGTATATTATTCTCAAGTCGCTCATGTTGTATCTATTATTAGTCCCAGTTACTTGAGACACACATTAAAACTGAGGACAACACATGGGGGACTGTCACACCTGATCTAGGATGCTTACGAGAAAGGCATTCAGTTGGGTCCCTCTCTGTATGTGCCCGGCCTTGCATGTATGTTTCTTACTCTTTAGCTTTCTGCCTGGAACAAAGGCTCTGTAACAAGAAAGGTAATGACTGATTATCTGATGACAACTTAATACCACCCGGATGGACGACACAGCTCTTGACACAGAGGCGGATCTGTAAGGGCAAGTGAACTCTTGAGTCGGGAAAGCACTTGGCCAGAATCCTGGCCCTGCCACTCTTCAATCTGTGACTTCAGGCAAGCTTGTTTAGTTTCTTCACGCCTCAGTTTCCTTATTTGTAAAAGAGCTTGTTGTGAGCCTCAATTATAGTAATGTATGTAAATTCCTTAGTCCATGCCTTGCACATATGTATTCAGTAAATGGTAGCTCTTAACATTATACATAATGGCTACCTGCTGTTTTACACAACTAAAGTGGGGACAATTTTCAGTTACGCTTTTAAAATAACAAAGTCATTGAAATTTCCTTATTTGTTTATTTACAAGACTATTTTAAAGGTGGCATTTTGCCTTTTTCAAAAAAACTGTTTCTGAGTCTAGCTGACACACAATGTTACCTGCGTTTCAGGTGTACAGCATAGGGATTCCACATCTCTGTACGTTAGACTTTGCTCACCGAAAGTGTAGTGACCATTTGTCACCAAAGGTGGCATTTTGAGTGGAAAGACTGGAAGCGTCAGAAAGGCTTAAGCAAAGTTGCATTTACCTCCGATTTCTTCAGAACCTTTCTCATAAGGTCGGGAGCTGATTCCTACAAGGGGCCTTACCCATGAGACCCCTCACAGCAAGGTCTTCTCCACAACTTCCCACCACTGGGTTCCAGCAAGACCCCAGGTGCTACATAGAAGAAAGGCCCACTGCTGCATGATGACTCTCTGCGCTCTTCGGTCATTCGCTTAGCTGACAGTAGCCGTCCACTGAGGGGACCACCGGTAAGTACAGACATCAGCCCAGGCTGCCTAGGCCGTGCACCACTCCTTCTGATGTCATGAGGTGAAAGCAGGGAGGCAGTAAACAGAATAAGAGCTTATCACAAGAGCTTATCTCTTAGATCTTCTTTTACTTGCTAAAATGAAATCTTTCCTGTAAATGAGTCCTTCGCCATTTGTCATTCTTCTGCTAATGCAGTCACTGTGGAGCACTCACTCATGTTTGACCATCTCTGAGTCGGGTGATATATTTCTTCTGAATCTGCAAGGCTGTGGGCAGAGCCTGGACTGCGGAAACATGCCAAGAGAGAGGCTTCCCTCATGGCAGTGCCTAT